ATATTTTCTTGTAAATTTAGTAATTGCATAATGTATAGTACTAAAATTTGAATTATAATCTACAGTTTGATACCTAAGTCATTGACATAAATTCATGAAATAGTAGTTCAATAAAATTTTTAATGCGAGTCAACGAATGAGATGACATGGCCTTTCACCCATTACCCGTCTCGAAAGGGTCAACTCTTTTTTTTACCAAAAGAAAACAATTCCAGAGATCTTAACCTATCCTCATGTAAAAAAAACATTTCTGTCCCAGTAGTCCTGCTTTTAACTCTTTTCAGTAACTGAATAACACTTTTCCTTCATATTATAGTGATACCCTATTAGTATTGGATGTGTATACATGTATATGTTGATGCTTATGACTTTGTGCTTGAGGATAAAAAACAAAGTCGTTGTCTGTGACATTGTGATGTATTCTGAATATTTGCTTTGAAACTGGAAAAAGTTGTCAATTTTCAACACTTTAAAGCGAGTGTGTGTGTGGGATCATTATGTAATAATTACAAATCCAACTAGGCATCCTTTAGTCTAACAATCAGGCTGATTGCTGAATGATTACCTTTCACTTTCAAAGGCATAAAAAGTAATAGCTGATGAGTAGTTATTAATAATCTTACAAGCAAGCTGCATGATAATCCAATTAATGTTGTGTTTCTTTAGATTGTAAACCATATAAGTTTGAAGGCTAGACTAATCAGATGTGACCAATTAACAGGCCTCCTAAATATGATAGTCCTCTCTTATTTCTTTGATAGTTACACGGGTTCAGAGTAGGTACAAGTAGTTAACATAGACACAAAAATATATGTGTGCAATAGAACAAAGAGGTCACATGACCAGAGATTGCTTAACAGCTAGTAAAGGTATCTTGGTACTCCAGAGTATTGGTTTACAGTTGGAATGTTTTGTTCAATCAAGATTACTTCCTTTATTTTGCAGCTGTTGATGTTTGGGTCATTGTTTAAAATTACATTGTTTTGTATAGATATACGGTGGTTATTGGGTTGCAATGGTCGGAGTTTATTATTATTATTATATTAAAGGAATCTGATTTCTCCGATGTAGAATTCCAGACGTTATTAACTGGGGGGCAGTTGCAATGGTGGTAAACTTGGAAGAGCTTTTTATTATGTTTGGGAAATTTGGTTTGCAATTTTCTTCTAGTTTCTGTTATTGTACATTATTTTATAAATGATGTTGGTATTTTGTGATTCTATGTAATTTCTATTTAATAATGATTTTAGTTTAGGGCCAGGATTTTGAGTGAATTTGAAGTCAACAGGAATTTTATGTTTAATGGCAAGTTTTCCTCAAATGTTAATTATTTTTGAACTGATTGCAGAGATATATGGTAACCTGAAGTGTAATGTTGTGTTGTTGTTTGGTGTATTAGTGTTAATTTTGTTTGAGGTTTTTATTTTTGTGTTTGTGCGAAAATGTTTTGACAACAGTTGGTGGATATTTGTTGGTGTGAATGAAACAATACTTTGTAAAGTTGATTTCTTCATCTATGTAGTCAGTTGAAGCTGTATTTATAACGTATTTTAGTATATTGATTTTTTGTTTGGATTCATGCTCAAAATTCCAGGGGATGTAGAGACCCATGCGAATGATTATTCGGTGAATTTTGGTTTTGAACTGTGTCGGATCTAATAATGTCAAGGTTAAGAAAAGATAACTGCTTGTTATTTTCATGTTCAATGGTGAATTTAATGTTAGGGTGAATGGAGTTTATATGTTCAAAGAAAGTGTGTATGTTTTTGGTAGAAGTGAAACCAACCAAAGTGTCATCAACATACCTGTATCAGTATAGGAGAGAATACAGTGTAGATTTTATGGCTTGTGTTTAAATCTGGGTCATAAAAGCTTAAAACATCTGTTTGAAGAAAGTTTTTGTTCTTGTGAATTCTAAGAGGAAAACAAAAAGTGTACTGGAGATGGGAATTAAAGGAGGTCATGTGCAATATTACAAGCTTCCTGATGGGAATTTTTATGAAAAGTGACACAACATTAAAACTAGTCATTAAGGTTTTAAGGTTTAGTTAGTTTAATGTGTTTCTGAAATGAAATACATCTTTAAAAAAAGATCTATACTGTCCACTTATGACTCATTTAATTATAATTTTGGTAAATAAACAGCCTGAGCTCTCACACATCTGTATGTTCCTTTTTTATTGCATTTATACCTGCAATCAGTTCAAATATAATCAACACTTAGAGAAAACTTGTCATTAAACATAAAATTCCTGTTGACTTTAAATGCACTCAAAAACCATTCGTAAAACTAAAGTCATCACTAAATAAAAATTACATGAGACCTTTTAGTCCTTCAAAGTTGATCTTGCATGGCATCCCATAAGAGAACTAAAAACTTGAAATTGTGCTTTACATTACAGGAAATCATTGACTCCCTTCTTAAACTTTTGGAAAGTATGGCCTCCACTGTTAGCAATGTCAACCATAAATCAGTCACCCTGTTAAAATAAAATAAAAGCATCTTAACTGGAGCCTAGCCTGTCATATAGGATAAAGAAATCAGAGGCTTTAATCCTGTCAATTCCTTGTAAGTTTCATTAAGATCACCTACTACTATCTTTTCATTAGGAGAAAATAAGTCAAGTGATCTTAACCTATCCCTGTAAAATATCCCTTCCCTGCCTTGAATCTGTGTAGCATCCCCCCCTTTGGAACACTTTCCAATAATTCATTATCATTACTTATCGTATACTGTTGCCAAAACTGCACATAGTATTCCAAGTGAAGCCTAAGTAGTGATTTGAATGGAAAGATAATTACCTCTTTTGCTTGTAATCAGTATGTCTTTAAATACACCCTAAAATTCTATTAGCTATACTACTAGCAACAGAGCACTGCTTTGATGGCTTGACTTGTAACTTGAGTGACTTATCTGTCACTACATCAAAATCCTTTTCTTCAATCATGTTTTTGAGTAGGTTCACATCTTCAAAAAAGTATGATCTAAATTTGGATAAACCAAATACATTACCTTGCATTACTGTAATTATAGGTCATTTGCAAAATATTTTTTCAACTTACCAAGTTATTCAAATGACTCTATAATATCTCAGTATCATTTTTACAGTTAGAAATATCCACTTGTGTAATGTCATCAGCAAACTTCATTAATTTATTTATTATGCTTCTATCAGTATCCCTGAAGTATTACACTTGTAATGAGGGTCTAATAACAACCTTTTACTTTCTATCAAACCACCTAACTTGAATATAATTAACTAGTCTTTCCCCAACTTAACCACCCTACAATACATTTAACTAGTTATTCATCTACATAACCACCCTATTTGAATACAGTTAACTAGTCTTTCCCCTACTTAGCCACCCTACTTGAATGTAATTAACTAGTCTTTCCCCTACTTAACCACCCTACAATACATTTAACTAGTTATTCAGCTACATAACCACCCTATTTGAATACAATTAACTAGTCTTTCCCCTACTTAACCACCCTACAATACATTTAACTAGTTATTCATCTACATAACCACCCTATTTGAATACAATTAACTAGTCTTTCCCCTACTTAACCACCCTACAATACATTTAACTAGTTATTCAGCTACATAACCACCCTATTTGAATACAATTAACTAGTCTTTCCCCTACTTAACCACCCTACAATACATTTAACTAGTTATTCACCTACATAACCACCCTATTTCAATACAGTTAATTAGCCTTTCTCCCTCTTAACCACCCTACTTGCATACAGTTAATTAGCCTTTCTCCCTCTTAACCACCCTACTTGAATATAATTAGCCTTTCCCCTACTTAACCACCCTACTTGCATACAATTAATTAGCCTTTCTCCCTCTTAACCACCCTACTTGAATATAATTAGCCTTTCCCCCTCTTAACCACCCTACTTGCATACAATTAATTAGTCTTTCTCCTTCTTAACTACCCTACTTGAATACAGTTAACTATTCTTTTTTTTCTTCTTTACTCCCGTCCAGTACAATTAACTAACTTTATCCTTTCTAACCATCCTCCTTGAATACAGTTAACTAGCTTTATCCTACATTACCATCCCACTTAACCCTTTCACTGTGGCTGAGACGTATATTTCTTAGTGCTCCCATTCCCTCACACTGCAACTGGAACAAATGTTTCCCATTGTTGTTCAGAATTGCCACTTGTGATGTATGGGAGTAAAGTGAGTTGGAAAGTATTTATTGGCATCCCATCTGATGTTGATATATGGTTTCCATCAATGCTTTCCTCTCAGCCTTTAGTAACCAACAAGATGCCTAAGCAGAATGTAGACAACTGCTTGCCGACCGTGCCCGCATCGCTAGAGCAGCAAGTAGTAACCATAATTACTATGTAAATATGCTTGATGCTCTTGACTCAGATAGCTTAGAAGATAGTAAAAGTGAGTCAAGTGGTGTTCAAGAGGATGCTAGCTCTCCATCTAGTGGTGACAGTTAAGATGATGAACCTAGACCCAGCAGAGGAAGGCATAAACAGTGTCGATAATGGGAAACATTCACCCCAGTTTCAGTGTGAAGGGGTGGGAGCACTGGGAAATATACGTCCCAGCCGCACTGATTGGGTTAAATGGTCTTTCTTTTATTTAATCATTCTACTTGAATATTTTAATCAGTTTTTCTCCAATGGGCTGAATGGTCTGTTGTCAAGTATTTTTAGTGTTTATCAATCTAATTGTTGATATCATTTGTTATTTATTCTTCAAGCTCTTGTACTGTATGATCTTTATTTAACAGCAATATCTAAAAGTAACTTTTTTCATTCTAGTTTATGAACTTTGAAATATCTTGGAAATTGGTCCACATGATTCGTCAAAAAATAAAACCTATCAGTTGTTACAACACTCTAGCCATCTTTTATGCAGAAGTGGACTTCAGTCTTTTGAAATTAAACTTGGAAGTGGTAAGCCATGTATTTGATAAGAATAGTGAATTGGATAAAGATTTATTGTTCAATATGAAACTGCTTTTATCACCTCCTCTTTATGGGATATGTAGGGTGTTTTGTTTCTAGGGTTATTATATTTTTCAATATATATATATCTATTATACCATGAGTAAATATCATCTCATTGTTATTGCTTCTTGTGATCTATTATTTTGGGAACATATTCCACATCATTATATATTGCTCCATTATTGCCCCCTTTTCTACTGTAAAAACTACCTTAGATCCATTGGCACACAACATTTTTTGTGAATATATACAGAACTCAATAATTGTATTACATTAGGAGCAAAATATGTTAATATATATATATATATATATATATGTGTGTGTGTGGAAATCTGCACAGTTTATTTTTTCTAATGTTTTGTGCTATAGGAGAACACAAAACTGAAATGGTGTTCACTGACTGACATGGAGAAGCTTTTACATGAAGAGCCAGGTTTACTTGGATTGGAACCATTAGAGTTTGCGAATGAGATTATAAACAACAGCGATTGGCAGTCATCATTTGCATTGAAAGAAGTTTCTTTTGAAGATGTCCTTCTTAATAATCTTTGCACCAAATCACCAGATGTTAGACCTCATTATAAACTTCTCTTAGAATCTGCAAAATTCAGTGAAAAAGGTACACTTATCAATGTGAACAACTTTAGTAGCAATAACGTTAAACATGATGTGTTATGGATAGAAAAATCTTAAGTTTTTATTGGTTGATTTAATATGTTGGTTGATTTTTTATGAAAATAAAAATAGTTTCTTTTGGTCAGTATTATTTATTGTAATATCTTGTTTCCCTAGTTTTCTGTCAGTAAATATATAGTATATTGATATTTTATTGTGGAATTTTCAAATGTAATTACTTTTTGGGTTTCCTATTTAATCCTTTTTCAAGTTCTGACAAAAGAATAAACATGAAAAAAAGTCAATATTAAATTATCTTATTTTTGTTTTATATACATTACTTTCTTTTTATCTTTGTTTTTCTCTCTCTGATGTAGATGAACAACAAATATATGCCGATTATATGAGTTTCTGTTATCCTAGTCAGTTTATGAACAGAACTGTTTTTCAACAATACCTTAAATGCCTTGGATGGACAGATTCCACTTTAACTGGGCAAATTTTTCAGTAAGCATTGTTTTTTTTCTATCTACCTTTCTGTATTCAGATATAATGCTAATAGAATCATCTTAATCAAACATATGATTGACCCTGAGAAATTGAAAAGTGAGACCAAGGAGGATTCCAACCAGAATGATGCTTTATCTTAACTGAGCTGCTTCAAATTAGTAAATTAGTATTATCAAAGAGGGGCAAGAAAGAATGCTATAAATTCAAACTCATCAACTTCTCTTTTTTGTTAAACTAGCATGATCTTTGATAGGTCAGTTGGTGCAGAAACTCCATCCACTCATTCCCAGTCTTAGTTTTAAGTTCTTTAGATCACTTAAAAACTGATTATATGGCTTGCACCATAAATAAATTATTCATAGTTCTTGAATATAAAACTTTATTAGAAGGTTTGTACTTTAACTCAGGCCTTGACAAATCCCAGGTGCCAGGTCTTTTTATTTGTGAATCTAGAATAGTTCTGGAATCTTGGAAGTCCAGAACTATTTTCGCATTATTTGAGTCCTAAATCAAACTTTGTTTCTATGATTTTAACACTTTCAACATTGGCTCAGTCAATTTGACCGACCACGTGACCTCTTTTAAGGTCTATATAGATATAATACTTCTAACTTTCAATATAGTGTGTATATTTTCACAAAATTTGGCAGTCTTTTGGTTAGCATTATAAGTCTTTCACATACAAAAAATTATATTTTTTACTGAAGTACTTTTAATAATCTAAAATGAATATTTGTCCATGAATATATTGAGTATTTGATTTGAATAGTCCGTGTTCAAAGTAATTTTCATGTTAGGATTAAAACTAATTTACTTCACCTCAAAAATCTCAAATTTCCTTTGTGTAATCCCTAAAACCTCCTAAATACATTTCGACGGGTTTTTTTTTCAGTAAAACTTCATATTTTATATGCTATTTTGGCTACCTTATCTCTATATGGGATCGGTCAATTTGACTGACCTTGTAACCACCAAAAAGAAATCTAAATAAATATCTATTACCCTTTTATGTTTTGGTAATGGCTTCAAATTGTAACATGAAACTACATTCGTTTTTCCTAAGTATCTTTAAGCTCGTAACAGTATACATATATTTATAATTAAATTTTATTGTTTTATTGCCTTTTAAACCATGTCTAACTACTATTCATGCCGTTATAAGTCACTCGGAGAACGTGCAGCTCACATTACACTGTCGAGTTACATTGCCCACGAACTGCTCGCATGTGTGCCTCATGAAACATTTTTATTATATTATTATTAATATTATTCATTTTACCTAATTTAATCTTAACTAGCCTAAAAATATCCCTATTTTTACATTTTAATTACTTTTATAATAATAATAATTAAAGAATAAACATGAAAAGCAAGAAATAGTCTTATTGTCGATGACAGTTAACCCTACTTTTTTATAATAATGGTAGTAATGCATTAAATAACTTTTATTTAATTAAATAATGCACCAAAGAACATAGACTAGTAACATGCAAAAAGTAGACAATTCCCCTAACTCTCAAAATTTTTCTGGCTTTCTAACTTTGTGACAAGAGCTGTTATAAATTTGTCTGAGCTAGTCTTTATCTTTCCCATGGGAACGAAGCTTGTACTAACAGTGAAACTGATGATATTCTGTTCAGAACACAATGTTACAAGATATATCATTTGATAGATGAAACCTTGACTTTCTATTGGTTATAGGTAATATATAATTAAATGTAAGAGAGAACTATTAACAAATCCTGAAAGAAAGGATATGACATGAGGGTTCTAATTTTCTATTTGATAGTTCTCTAACCATACAAAATTGAAAGATATAAAAATTATGGTTTGTCTGAGCAATGATGATTTTATGAGTAATTTACGTTAAATTTCATAGTTACTGGAGAGGTGGTAGATAAAATAGAGAAGATACCTAGAGAAAATGTGTCACACTAGGGGAGATTCAGGATTTTTTAAAATATTGCCTTATAGAATTAAGAACTTAAAACTTTTATACTATTAAAATATGGATTATTATCTAAGATTTTGTTATAGTAATTTGTATAACATAAACAAAAAGTATGCTAATAAAATTTTAAATGTAACTCACTAAAACGGGATTTGCAGTAAAGGATGCCTGTCACGTTAGGGTTAAACCTACAGAGAAAGTATTTATTATAATTCAATTAAAAACTCACTAGACAGTTTGCATGTAGAAGGTATTTATTATATTTCAATATAGAAACTTGTAAGAAGGTTTTTCTTCTTAAAGCTATATAGATAGTATTCATTCTACTTGAATATAAAAACACATAATGAGTTCTGATACGATACTTAATCTCCTCTCATATTTACCTTTCCTGATTCAGAACTGCCCTCTTTTTTGCTCATCGTTAGTCTTGAGGATCCCATGTTTCTGTGTCATATTGCTGCATTGTTGCATGCAAATAGGCATGCAGCAACCCTCCATCAATAGGAATTCAGCACTGTTTCCTAGCACAGCTGGCTTCCTTTATACTAATTGTTCAATCATCACTTCTCAGTATGACACTTGTGATAAGATGTGCCTTTTTTCACTCACGTGAAATTTCTCAACATCATTGTTTGGTTGAATTCTCTACAAAATCAGTTTTTGTGGAAACATTTTTTGTTTTTATTTACAAACAATTCTGCCTCTGCATAGTTTATGGCTTTTATTTTCTACATCATGAATTACATAGTGATAGTTGTTTCCATGCTGTCTAGTGTTGGACATCTGGAATTTGTTGACTCTGGACAGACTACCACCTTGGCAATAGAGCTTTTTTTTTTTGTCTACCAGGGGACGTGACAGCTGTTGTATAACAAGTGGTGGACTCTTGTAGTTGGCCTGTGCATCTTTTGAGCCTTGACACAGTCTTCTCTCCTCCTATAATTCTTGTCCGTGAAGACATGGATTTTAGGCAAGTTTTTCCCACCTCCTAAATTTGTAAACAAATCTTCCATTGCAAACGTGGATCTACCTCAACATTCTCCATATTTCTCAGGTATGTTACCTTTTTCTCACTCTCTCCTATTTCTTATTATTCTTTACTTTTCTTTCATCAAAGTATTATGTTTTTACTTATTCCACTAATATCCAAGTCTAATCTGAAACATTTTATTATTTCAACTTCACTCTGGTGCTGGTATATCTTGTCCTCCTTCACTGGTTGCACATATTCATTGGCTTACAATCAAGCTGAAGCCCTTTTCTTGGACTCCCAAACTCTGGAGTTCCTTCTTCACACTTGGGTTCTAATATATTGTCATCTGTTAGTCTTTTTTTTAAGCTCAGTTTTCTTACCTTTGCCTTATCTTCACTACTCTTTTAAATTATCTATCTTCCATCTATCTCTTTTTTGGAATCGGTCCACCATTCTTCTGAGGGATTTTAGGTGGACACTTATTCCCTTCCTTTTTCTACCTTTTTGTATTCTTTTCCTTCTGCTGTGTCCATTCTCACTTAGTTAATCTGTTGCTGGGATCTATTTGGGAGGAAGGCTCTTCCTGCCCATCTACATTAATCTATCTCTTTCTCACAGACTCTCATGTGGCTCCTTTCCTCTGACAATGGGTGTTTGGTGGGGTACCTGATTCTTTGCAGTCATAGGCTGAAGCCATGCACCAACACTTTTTCTGACTATTCTTGTGTACCATCTTTCCCAAGCTCTTCCTCTCCCAGTTGCTGTCTTCCATCCTTCTGACTCCTTTCTGTTCCCTATTCTTCTATCCTGTTCCTCTTCTTCTTCTATCCATTCTTCAACTATCCATAGGTTTCAGCAGCAACAGTATCATAGGTGACTATTTTATTTTGTCAAGAACAGTGGGGGCCCATTTGACTTGATATGTAGATCTATGGATTTCTTTTATGGCTGACCATTGGATGCTACAGGTTCCATTTGGTGACCTTATCCTTAATTTTTCCTCTCCTCCCCTTTTGTATCCCACCAGTATCTCTCTGAGGAGGTGTCATACCTTTGGAACAAGGATGCTATCAAAATGGTTTCCCACCTTTCTCTGGGACTTTATTTCTGTATGTTCGTTGCTCCCCAGTATACTGGGGATTGACATACAGTCATTGTTCTGTATCATCATTGTCACTTTCTTGACCTTCCTCAGATTACTGTGATGGGTTTTATCACCCTCCGATGGTCTTTTCTTCAGGGCTTTGGATGACCAAGGTCAATGTCTCTGATGCTTACCTTTACATTCCCATTTCCCCCAACATATAGATTTTATCTTCAGTTTGTATATCACAATCAAATTAATCAATTCTGAGCTTTTCCTTTTGGCCTGGTGTCAGCCCCATATTTTTTCTTTTTTTGTTGTTTAGTGTGTGCCTTCAGTCATCACTTTCATGGTTTACAATTGAGATTTCACCATTATTTGGACAACTGGTTTCTTTTAGCTGCATCCCAACAGGACTCCTCCAACCATACTGTTCTTCTTTGGCTCAGCCAGTATCTGGTTCATTTGGGTGTGTTCTTCACTTCCTGTCTGAGCAGAGCACAGCCTTCTCTGCTGCATTTGAGGGCCATGGAAGGTTTGGTTTCCACATCTCTCTCCTCCCCTTCTTTTCCTGCACAAGATGTTCTCTGTCTCTTAGGGTTTTGAGGTTTTTTGGAACCCCATAATTTCTTGAGTTGTGGGTATTTTACTGTGGACTCTTCATGATCAATTGACCCTCTCTTGGGATCCCTTTTTTTAAATTTTTTTTATGGCTTTGTTTTCATCGATGCCTTTTCCATTTATGACAATACCAAACCTGTACAATTACTAGTGTCATTTTCTCTTACAAATATATCTCTATACTTTTCTAATAATGTTATCAAACCTTGTTTATGTTTCTTTTCTATATTTCCTAAGAGAGAATCCCAGTCTATCCTACTTTGTTGTACCTGTTTCTTAGCATTATTAACATTATGCTGTCTTACTTAGCTATTTGTTCTCTACTACTAGCCTTACCTACTACTATGTTCTTAGGTAGTATTACT